GGTGGTTCTTTACATCAATGTGTGCTACGCGCCCCCTAGTGGTCCTGAGTTTCTCTGCAGGGAGGTTTATGTCTGGGCTCACACTTGCCTCAAAACACTGCGTCTCTTTTCTTTCTTTTTTTTTTTTTTTTTTAATTTAAAGAGAAAATGAAAAAAAAACAGAAAAAGGGCACAAGTTATACAGAATTTCAGAAAGAATAAACAGTAGGAAATCACTAGTTAATAGATTACATATTGTTATCTTAGAAATAGTTATTCAAGCTACAAAATTAAAGCATATAAATTGGACTGTGTCTCTTGACAGTAATAGGTGGCTGTGTCTTCCTCGGTGACAGAGTTTAGCTCCAGGGAGAACTGGTTCTTGCTTGTGTCTCTGGAGATGGAGATGCAGCTCTGGAGGGAAGGGCTGTAACTGGTGCCACCACTGTACCCCATCCACTACAGGCTCTTTCCTGAATGCTGACGAGCTCCACTCATAACTACCAGTTGTGATGAAGAATCCAGAGACTGATCAGGTGAGGGACAGGGTCTGCAATGGCTTCACCAGGCCAGGTCCTGGCTCCTGCAGCTGTACCTGGGACAGGACAAAGGTAAAATCTCTATCACCTAATTGATTTCCTAATCTTCCCATGGACCTGTATCTGACATTGAAGACACTCACCCTGTGCACCTGTCACAAGGCATATGAAAAGACCCAGCAATTTCATATTGTAGGTCACACCTTTGCCTTCTTAAGAGATCTTAGAAGTGGCTGAGGAAGGAGCTGTCAGCTCTGTCAGTCCAAAAGGGGAAGTTGAGTCTAGATTTGGGAAACGAATTTACACGAGGGAAGTTCCTTTCTTTTGTGATGGTGAAGCATAGACCAAGATGTATCTGGTCCTCTCGTTGTAGAGAGGAATCTGCTCCCATGCACTCGAGTGGTGCCCACTTCTGTGATAGTTGGGAAGCTGCCTTCCCTGCAATGAAGAAAGCAGATCCCTCCTTCCTGACTCCACCCTAACTTCCTCCAGTCCTGCTAACTCCTTGTTCCCAGCCTGACACTGCCTTCCCACATGGGCTCTGGTGCTGCTTCCACAGGACGAAGACAGCACGGCTCCCTCCTCCTCTCTCTGATCTCTCCCCTCTGGTGCCATGCATGCTGCTAGAGAGCCCACCACTACTAACATTGAGGAGAGGTCCTCTTGCCTCCTGCTCTGAGACATCCTGTGATCCAGGTCCTACTGACTAGAACCCACAGAGACTGGAGATTAGGATGTTTGTACTGTGCCTCCCTTACAGAGAAGCCTCCCTGAGGGAGGGAACAAGGCTATCTGTGCTAAGTTTTCCCTTCACACCTTGCTTTGTGTAAGTTCTGGGTATCATTTTCTTTCTAGGTTCCCATTCTCTTGTTTCCTAAAGTTATTCCTAAATTCCAAATGCTTACCTAATTACAGTTGTACCTTTGAGATCAATTATGTATTACAAACACTATGCTCATGATGATAATGTCCCTAAAATTAAAACTTTCTTCTCACTTTCCAATCTTTTTCAGTCAGAAATGTGCAGTTTCTTGTTAACTATTGGTGCACTGGGGATTCAGTGAAATTTTTTCCAGTGAAATGAGGCAAGGACTCTCATGATTTCTTGCTACTCAGTTCCATAGCAAACACAGTACAGATTTTCTAAGTTCACCACCAACAGATGTAATCTACCAATGCCATTAATTATATCTCCTTAAATAATTCCTGTGTGAGCTAACATCCTTATCAACTTATCTCCGAGTCAGGAAAGTGGGGCTGAGGATTCCTGAGTGAATCATGATGGAGAGCAGAGTCCAGTTCCATCCCTCCTCACTGGGAGACCCTGAGCATGGGGACTGCACATTCTGACCTCCAGTGTGAATAGGCACGAATGCTGAATGCAGAGGTCACTCTGTATGTGATCTCTTCAGCAGGCAGAAACAACCGTCCAATTTCATCTCCACTTCCATTAGTGCTGTTTGTTTAGTTATAAAAAGGAAAAGACCCATAGAACCCTCACCTGTAATTCGCAAGATACCCAGCCTACTGTGCTACTCTGTCACTCCTATGACTGGGATAGGACCCTGCTCTTCAGTGCACTGTCCTTTCAATGTATTGACTGATCTATATCCATGTCATCTGAAATTATTATTTGTCCATGTCATTTCCTGGACAGAGACTTCAATCTAGCATATTGCACTATGTATACAATTGTTTTTAGACTTTTTCATTAGTTGATATTTGCAGCATATAACGATTGTTTTCATCATGGTTAGTTAGATAACACAATATGCTTTTCTACCCTCTTTCTCCCCCTCCCCAAATCTACTAATAATCAGGTGGCCTGAATGCAGGTAACAGTCGCATCCACAGTAGTAAGGAGAAATAGATTAACAGGATGTACATGCACTCTCAGGGAATGATCTGGACAAACAGGTGGAGCTCTTCTGACTTCAAGCAGGAGAGCACTGACCTGGACATCCAGAAATAGGTGACTCTCTGGGTGGGTACTGGTTCTGATTTTGACACTGTAATCCTCTACCTTCCTCCTCAGAGGTCACTCTTAGAGTTACTCATGCATGCACAGTTCTTATCTGTGTTCTGAATTGTACAACTTTGATGGATTTGTAGGAAGACTGACATGTGCTCCACAGAGAGAGGAATAAAGGTTCAGTTATGCATAAGCTCTTGTGGTGGGGAGAGGATCACATGCTCTGCTAAATCCTTGGAAGGGCAGTGAGGATTTGGTCACTAAGTTTAGGAAAGTGCATGTTTCCTTTGTGAGTTTTGTTATGGAGAGTGATTGCCTTTACTCTACATCATTTTACAGGTCTGTTTGGAAGACCCAACAATTATCAGACACTGACACATGAAGAGGAAGAGGAAAATACCTGGAAGGTATCAGTGAGGAGGAAGTTGATAACCAGGGAAGAAGATGTGGTGGATTTCATACTTAGGAAGTGAGGATGGTTCACTGATAGATTTTCCCCACCATGATGAGATGAGAGCATAAACTAAGGCTGAAAGACGAACTTTGTGAAATACATCTGAGAAGAAATGAGGCTCTTCATAACTGTCAGATCAGGAATGTGGAGACACAATGACACAGAGATGTGCCCATGTTGTGAATAAAGCTCAGCTGAGGTGCATGGTGAAGCTAATACCCAAGAGCTCCATGTTCCTCCTGGTTCCATTCATAATTTTTCTTTGAAACACAAGTTACAAAATTAATGCTAAATTTGAGCTCTTACTTGAGCCAGGTTTCTAAAGACTCGATTTGAAACTCATATATGAACAATTATGACTGAACATAGAATAACAGAGAAGAGTGAAACAGAAGAAAACTCATGAAATAGTTCAGATTTTCAGGGATCTGCAGGAAGCTGTAATTCAGAAGGTGCTAAAGAGGATCAAGCTCCATCTCAGGGAAGGGCATATTCTCAAAGATGTCTGCGTCCTTGGTGGGAAACAAAAGATGCCCCTGAGATATCATATCAAGAACATGCATTTTCTCTCCTTAACCACAGGACATATCAGTGAGGATGTTGGACCAGGTGAGAAGCAGTGTATGTAGAATGAGGAGGAGGAGGTTTGTTACCCTCTGGTGATGAGTGTGAGCATGAGATCATTGGTCACATTTGAAAGATGGGAACTATGTGTGAGTATGTCAGCTCTGCTCTGCCTTCAGGATCCAGGAATGTGCATGCAGTGCCTTTGTGCTGTTCACTACGTACTTGAACACAGGAAAGTGTAATAAGTGTAATATTAGCAACCACTGGGATATATTTTGATTGTTTTAGAAAAATTTGCAAATATATCTGTGACTGTTAAATACAGAATTAAGTGAGATAAAATAAAATGCATCAAGGCATAATCACTGGAATCCACTTAGGAAAAACCATGCACACTTTGAGAATGGAGGGTTTTGCCTCATCTACTCTCCACTGTTTTCCTAATAGACTGAAAATTGAGAGATGAGTAAGAAAGACACAACACTTACAGGATAACAGAGGAGCAGTGAGCAGCAGAGGAAGAACCGCTCCTCATCTGCTATCCAGACCCTGGATTACAGCAACACAAATGAGAGCAGGAGGACATGGGTGGGGCCCACGGACATGGGCAGGGTTAAACCTGTGGGTTGAAAGCCACGGAGAGAGAGAATTTTGGTACCCAGCAAGAATAAAAGAACCGGGAACAGTGGCCTAGTGGGAATGAGGAAAACAGCAGGAAGCAGTGCAGTCCCTTTACCACATGGGCTGGCAGAGGCCCTGTCTGCCTGAAAGAAGCAGCAAGGAAGACATGTAGCCTCCTCCTCTTGCCCCCAGTGAGACACACATAAGCACTGGGACACAACTCAGGCTAAGATGTTACTAACTGAAGTAAAGTAATGACGTGACATTTAAACTGTTTGATTGACTTTGCAAACCTGGGCCAGGAGCTTGAGCAACTAATTAAAGGATGAGATTGTGCAATACAGTAACAATGGTGAGTTTCCTACTGTCCTACTCTGTATTGTCCACATTACTGTTCTATTTTCCTCCTTTAAAATAAAAAATTACAAAAACAAAAAATGAAAGAGGTGGGAGACCGAAATGGAGATTAAGATACAGGATGGTTTTGCTGTTCTTTATAAATTTTTCAATTTTTAAGGTGCAAAAGAAGGCACAGGACCAAGTCCTGCTTAGCCCTCTAGTCTGGAAAGAGAACATTAAGGTCCATAGACACTGCCCTGAGTTCAGTCAGGCTGCCCCTCTTCCTCCTCCCCTGAACTCAGTGCTCCTCATGGTGTTGAGGCTGAGGCTGGGACAAGGTCTTCTAAGGTGGCTAAGCTATGTATTCTGAGATTCCATGGAGAGGGATGGTAAGGATTTAATTTGCTAACCTGAAGCATTTATTATTGCATGAGACAGTTCCTCATCACCCAAACTAAACCAGCAGACTCATATTTAGATGATAAGGATATGACATGGAATAGAAAATTCACTTCACAAAATGTACAAATTGTGTGGAGATAGGTGCAAGTTTTGTTTACCAACAAGTAAAATTCATAAACAGAAAATTTAAAAAGTCAGTGCTTCGTATATACTCATGCAATTACATTTAACAGAGAATATTTCCTTGAACTTGGGCATTTCATTGGGGGTGGTTCAGGACCTAAGAAGTTAATACAGAAGAGAAAACCCAGATGCCTCAGGAAGCCCTCCCTACTCTGCTTCCTTCTGTGCACCTGCACCTAAGGGCCCTGCTTGCTCTCCAGGGACAATAGCGTCCTCATTTGGACATAAGCACCCCTACAGGGAGGTTTTTGTCTGGGCTCACACTGATGTTTCCTCACTGTGCCTCTTGCACAGTAATACACAGCCGTGTCCTCCGGTCTCAGGCTGCTCATCTGCAGATACAGCGTGTTCTTGCCGTTGTCTCTGGAGATGGTGAATCGGCCCTTCACGGAGCCTGCGTAGTATGTGTTAGAACCACTGCTACCAATAGCTGAGATCCACTCCAGCCCCTTCCCTGGAGCCTGGCGGATCCAGCTCATCGCATAGCTACTGAAGGTGAATCCTGAGGCCATGCAGGAGAGTTTCAGGGAACCCCCAGGCTGCACCAAGCCTCCCCCGGACTCCACCAGCTGCTCCTCAGCCTGGACACCTGCAAACACAAGAACATCTTGTTCAGGAAACTGTCACACATGTCCACTGATTACCCCAGTAACATCCATCTCGCCATTCCATTTTCTTTATTCTCAATAATTTACCTCTCAGAAGAGTAAACAGGAAAACCCAACCGAGCCCAAACTCCATGGTGAGCCTTCTGTGCTCACTGCTGATCACTGAATAGGCACCAGGGCTGAGCTCCTTTGCAGAGCTGCAGGGTGAGGGTTGAGCTGGTTTTCATGAGCACGCAGAGGCCCTATTTGCATGGCCTGCTGCTATATAGACAGCTCTGCACATGAAAAACTCAGAAGGTAGAGTAACATCTGATGTTATTGTGCTAATAACATTTGGTAGCAAAGATATCACTGAAGACAAAGGAAAAACTCGTTATGAGAAGAATTCTTGATGTTGATCTCTATTTTTATTTTTCCTGTACTCTTATTCATGCACACTTGTATTTGTATGCTTTGGAAATACATAAAATTATCAAATTGTCAGGAACATTTTCCTTTACTACAGGAGAGCTAATGTGCTGTAAATATCCTCCCCACTGTCTGGACCTATGCTCTCCTAAGCTGTGGACAAACAGCTGCCTGTTCCAGGGCCTGACCAGAGCACAAACACCTGGGATGATTCTCTTCCCCTCTTTCTGCAGGGAGAACATGTGTGACTTTGCTGCATTCTGCTGTCTACTGAGAGAAAGCAGAACCTTTTCTCATGTGGATGCCTGCTACTGCGTCTCTTACTTTCCCTCTCATGAACTCTCTCACTCTTTCTCTGTGTTGAGACTTCGTGTGTCTGTGATAGCTTCATCAGAAGTAACACATAAACTTCCCATAGAAAAAGTGGGCACCTGAGAAGTATTTAAACACAGAAACCATTGCACAATCACACACACAATCACAACAATGAACTCATGCATCATCCTGAGTTTGTCCTGAGGCTCCTCTGCAATTCCTGCCCGCCGCCAGCTTCCCTCCTGCATCCCATCTCCAGGCAGCTCTTGACCATCCTAGGATTGCTATACATTAATTTTCCCATTTCAGCATTTATACTACAAGTACACTCCCTATAATACTGGTCATCTTTAACACAGAATACTTATTTGAGCTATCTATATATGGTTATATAACTCAGCATTCAAAGATATTTATGTGGATTAACTTACAAGTCTATAAAAATAAAGCTGGGGATACAGCTCAGTGCTATGCTATTTGCCTATTGATTCTGAGGACTTTTCATCCCCAGTAAGGCAAAAAATAATCATAAAATTAATGGCTACACACTTCAGATTAATTCCTCAGGTAATCCGTTAGTGCTCATTTCAGTATTCCAAGCTTCTTGTTATTACAAAGACATCTGGTCATCATCTTGAAAATGTACACAGATGAAAAAATTTGCTTCTTAAAGTAATAAACAGTACAACCATAAGAAAACCTGAATGAACTGTAAATTAATAATTTGTAAGCACCTAAAAGGAATGAAATTACAAGGCTATAATAGTATGGAATCTGTGCATACTAAAGTATGAAACCTTATCTGCCAGGCTGAGGTCATCCTAGGCCATGTTTTCAGGTGATTCACCAGGAAGCAATTCCTGAATTACAAATGGCTGCATATGCTGCAGCATCAGAGTGTTAATATGACAGAGCATAAAATTAGGGGGTGAGTATGTCTATGACAGCCACTGTAAAAATACTACAAAAGGACTAACATACATGAAATACAAGTTTTCCTTGCATATCTGGCCCCTAAAGTTCAAGAACAGGCAGTAATAGAGCTGGTATCTGGCAGGATTCAGCTGTGTGCTCCAACCCTTGTCTAGTTTCTACACCCTGAGGTGAGGGAAGAGATGCACACTAGGTCCTTCCATTTCAGGCACGCAAAAGGAGACATCAGTTCAGGTCTCAAGAGTCCTGATTTCATCTAGAAACTCCACTCTCTTCCAAGCAAATTTCTCAAAAAATATTGCATGTGGTACTGAGGTCCTCCAGGATTCATATTGCATGAGCTCCCATATGGAAACACTGAGAGCCCAGGCTCTCCATCCTCTCCATCCTCCTTTTATCTCTGCTGAAGTCATTTTTTTTCTTTCCTAATGGCCCAAAACCTTTCAATATCTCTAGTACCAAATTAAAAGTATGATGTAAATACCCTCTAAATAAATGATGGGTGACATTTTGTGTATGGCACTTCTCTGTTTGTACTTCTGAATCTGAGCAATATAAGTGTTGTCTGTATACAGTGGTGGGCTTGGCATGGGGACAACATTCCCAATAAAAGCACACAAAGGAAAACAAAATCAGTATCAATCAAATCCAACTAGACCTGCATTTTCCCTTAGTGACACAGAATCACACTCCTTGCTTCAGCTCATCATGACTTTATTGAACAACTTGACAGGGTCTTGGCAGCCCAGTCCACAGGTATTGAGAGTGCAGCTGTGACAGGGGTTCATATGGATGGGAAATGAAGCCTGCAGGATATCAGACCCACATTTTATGGTGATGGCTCTCATGCTGGGGTTTTGCAACAAAGGAGACTACAGAGATGTGTGAGGACCCAGCCTTGCAGGCTGCTCCACACTGGCTCCAACCTCACACTCCTGCTGGTGTAGCCTGGAGGCTCTGCAGTTTTTCTCCCTTCTTCAGGGCTCACAGCCTGCTTTTGAGGTGGTCTGAATCTTGCTCTGAGAGCCAGATGGAGGTGTTAGTGCCCATAGCTATTGGACTTTGTATACGTGTAGAGCGAGTGCCCCGTGCACACATGAGCACACGTGGTCTGTACAACTGGCACTGCCATCACCGTTGCCCACACGTGGGTGGGCTTCTCTGTTTGGGTTCCTCTGTTTCACTTCAGCAGACACAACCACAGGTCACATGTTGCTCCCCCACCTGACATATATACTAAATACAGGAAGGATTTTAGGTTATGAAGGGGTGTTCATGAGGAGATTTGGGACCCAGCACTGTATTTCTCATTATTTGCTTCACAGACAGACAACATGGGGTTACTGTGTCTTTTTCACCACTACTGCCACTGTTATGCACTGAGCTGACACACGTCCATGGAAACAGCACAATGTGAAAATAGAATGAAACCTACAGAATTCTAGGACAAGAAACTTGCCCCTTTTAAAGTGAATTTATCACTGTTTTTTTCAGTAAGACAAATCGCGCTGATGTAATAGTTGTGCACATAAAACAATGTTATGTTTTCCATTCATTGACAGAACATCTCTTTTAAATTTTGTGAAATTTTTCATTTATTTGACCAATGTTTTATACTTTTCATTACACCAATGTTTCAAGTTTTTGGTTAAAATGATTTCTAGTTTGTTTTATGTAGCTGTTGCAATTTAATTCTCTTATTTTTTCTCTGTGTTTTGAGGCAAGGGCTCACTCTGCAGTTTGGAGTGGCCTAAAACTCACTTTGTAGGATAAGCTGTCTTCAACATGCAAAAATCCTTCTGCCTCAGCCTCTTGAGTGCTGGGATTACTGGCATGTACCATCACCCCTGGTTTATCGCTTATAATTTATTTCAAAGACTTCACTAACGGCATAGAGAAATGTTGATTTTTGTAGTTTGATTGTGTTATTTATTTTTCCTGAATTTGCTTTGAGTTTATCATTTTTGTTGGATCTTTTAAAATTTCCAGACATATATTTATGTCGTGCATAAACACAAAGCTTGAATTAATTTTTCCCAGTGTGTATGGTTTGTATGTTTTCCTTTTCAGATGAGAACTTCCAGGAGAACATTTAATAGAAGTTATGGAATTGGTCATCCTTTCCTGTTCTTCATTTTACAGAAAGAGGTTTCCCTTTTGTCCATTCAATGCCATGTTAGCTGTTGTTTGATTCTTTATAATTAATGGTATATTCTTGTACAGAAATCTCTTTGAGAGATTTTATTATTCACAGATATTGGATTTAACCACGTTTCTTTTCAGCATTATTTGATATGATTCTATGATTTTTGTTATGTATGTTGCTGTTTTTTAAATATTTAAATATTTACCCACAGACAACTCCTTTTTGATTTTCATTTACTTTACAGAGTCACATATATACACATGATATATTCTCTCTAGTGTGAGAAACTAAAAAATTAAATAAGACTCAAAAGTATAACAGCTTTGTGAAAGTGAAAGCTGAAGAAAGTGATCCTTTTTATTCTGTGAGAGAATCCCAGAGATACCAGGGGATCAGGCTTAATTGTATTTAAATATATTTTAATTTTTGTGTTCTAAAATAATTTTGAGGAATTTTGCATCTACATTCAGCAGAGATATTTTCCCTTAGCATTCCTTTGTTCTCTCCTTTTATTAGCTGGATTGTAGCTTCATAAAATGAATGCAGAAATATTTTTAAGTTCACTTATAAATATACTTAAGAAAGTAAATGCAAACATTTACCTACTAAACAATATGTACAATCATACATACATCATATGATATCAAATCAATTTGCATACATGAATGTTTTAAGAATCAGTAAAATAAATTAACGAAAGTGAAGAAAATATTTTGGAATAGTGGGTAAGAATTGAAATTATTTCTTATTTATTTATTTGATAAAATTCAATATTTCACCAAATTATGGTTTTGTTTTGAGAGAATGTCTCTTTATTTTGAACTCTTTATTATTACTAATCATAGCGCTGCTTAGATTTTCCTTGTTTTTTGGTTCATGTATGGCAGATTTAGTTCAGGAATTTATCCATTTTTGTAGGTTTATGTTTAGCCATAGCTTCAGGAAAGAAGCTAAGACTGCTGGATCCCATACTATTTCCATCTGGAGTTTCATGAAGAAACTCCCTACTGATAATTTAGAGAGAGTTTGTCTGCAATGATTTACATTCCCTCCAACAATAAACTAGCCTTTTATTTCAACATACTTTGCAGCACTTGCTATTATTCATGTTGTTAACAGTCATAACAGATGTCACAGCATTATTTGTTGAAATAAACATCTTTTGTCAAGTATTGTCTTTCACAATGTAAGAAATAACTTGCACAAGTGTGCATGGGTATGTTTTGAGTTACAGTAAAACAGTGAAGGCATTTTGTACATGGTGTTAGAGTTTATCTTCATCTGTTTATGCTGTCAGGATCATTTTCTCAGACAAAGAGGACATATTTGATACATAAATACCAAAATTTAAAATGGAAAAATCCTGTGGTGGATGCAATTTATCTGTGGTCAGATATTTCTTGCTTGCTCTTTCTGA